TTTTAATATTTCAGAGTTGGCTGCAGGGATCCAATTATTTTCAGTTTGGATACATTTCCCCTTTATCAATATCTCCATGTGCATAAATAAGATGAAAGTGGCATTGCAGAATCAAAAGGAGACGGCACTCCATCGCCGGGCAGGCTGCTTCCTTCTGCAAGTGCGCGGCCAGTCTCTCCCACGCGGGTTTCTGATGTGGGCACCAATCTTCCTTTCCAAGGCAACATCTTTTTATAGGTTAAAGACAAGAAGGATGTTTAGGCATGGAGGTGAACTTACAAATAATGGGGAAAAAAAAAGAAGAAGAGAAACAGGAAGCTAAAGACAGGAGGGAGTGTGTACTAAATCAGCCGCCAGCCCCCTTCCAAGTAGCATCAAAGAGGCAATGGGTGATTTCAGCCGTGCTCAGAGCTCCTCTCAAGAGCTCTTTCATGGAATTGAAAACCCAGTTCTGCACTTCCAGGTTCCTTTGATTTCCTAGTCCAACACAGCAGGCTCCCGAGCACGCGTAAATAGGCTACCTGTGCTGAAATGCAAATAGCAACGTCCCCGCAGACCCTCCCGGGCCAGATGCCTGACACTAAGAGACAAAGATGGGAGGCGAAGGGAGAGCCACAGGGCCAAGCAGAGGGTGGCTTCTGTCCAGAGGGCTCTGCTCGGTCCCTGCAGTCAATCCACAGGGCTTCCCCGTGAGAGGGGACGATAATACAGAATGCGGTCATGGTGTTGCATGAGGCCCCCAAACGCCACCGAGCCCTGGGGCACAGATGGGTTCACGGGGACATCTGCCCCTGTGCTGCAAAGGCCAAAGCCCCCTGCCCTAGGGGCATAAAAGGCTCATGTTCTGGGGTGACCACCTGCACCTTCCCCATTCACCTGTCCCCTCACTTGAGCAAGGTCCACCTGCTATTTTAATACCTTTACCTCTGCGGTTAGTATTCTTGCATTTGGAAGAGGAGCTCGGCCACTTGTCTCCATAGTGATAGACACTGGTGCTCTTACAGAGGGACCCTCCCTGCCCCATGGCTCCCCAGCTGCTACAAGGTGCTCATCCTGGCCACCACCCGAGCTCACACCAAAAATCCTGGCCCTAAGACTGCAACATGCCCCTGCTCAGCCCCGACAGTCCCGGCTCCTCTGCCCACTGCTACTACCTGTGCGCCGCTTAAACCTCCCATCTAAAATCAATATTTTAAGTGTGTGCTTAAATGGTATCAATAGCAATTAGAGAGGGGGAATTCTGATTCTGCCCCAGATGTAGTTAATTGTCGTCTCATCGATCTCGCCTCTGACACGAATCCTTCTCCAAATTAAACCCCCATTACGGAGGGGGACGAGGGTATCTTTTTTCCTCCTATGACAATAAATTTAATATCGAATGCACTGGACAAAATGGCAGCTGTTGCAGAATCCATCCAAAAAGATTTTTTTTTTCTCCTTCCTGGGAGTAATTAAAAGATGCTTTCCTTGACTAATGACTGTGCTGTTTAGGAATGGGAAGTCAATACTGCTTCAGCCGCCGTCAGCTTCCATTGATCATGATGCTGCTCAAGTTTGAACGGCAGTTCTCAGGGTGGCTGAGAATCATGGAACCAATTATAAGCAGTCCAGAGCTGCTTTAATAGGGGCACATGGACAGCAGGCTGTAGGCTAGTCTCTCTGCCCAGTGCCTGCCCTCCTGGGCTGCCTGTGGGCCCAGGCAACTCCAGGTGCCGCGTTTTAGGGGACAGAGGAGAAAGGTGTGCTGTGCCTGCCCACGGTCCTCAGTCCGTGTGTGCCTGTGCCCAGGTGGGCAAGTGCCGGGGTCAGGGGGAGGGTGTCTGTGGCTTCTAGCCGCATTCCACTGTCAGGACAAGTCCAGACCAGAGCGTCTCAGGGAGCACTGCACTCTTCTCAAGCCATCAGACTCTGGGGCTTTTATTTAAATACTTATTTAAGTATATTTCCACATCCTTTTTTATTTATTCATTCATTATTTTTTATTCCTCAGGTACCAGGAACTGAGCCAGGGTCTTGCACATGCTAGGCAAGTGCCACACCATGGAGCGGCACCCAGCCTACTACAGCGTTTCTTACTAGTATCACCTCAGGACATATCAAAAGCCCCCCATCGAGCCTAGATTCTGCAGAGAGAGGGAATGGAGGGGTCGGGTGGGTACCGGGACCAGAAACCCATCCTCCCAAGGCTATGAACCCCATGCAGGGACGTAGCCAGACTTTCTGGTTTTCACCTGCACTCGAGGAAGCGCGGAGGTGGTGGAGGTGGTGGTTTCGAATCACTGCTGTACCAATGGCTGTTGTTTTGCTTTCACCGTGTTTCTAAGGCTTCCTGTGTTCCGCCAGGACCACAGCCTTCCCCGCTTCCTCCAGGTGGAACACACTCAGACACATAAATAGACCAAAGTGCCCCCACACCCGGTGCTAGTCCTGGTGCTGGTGCCCAGGCTCAAAGGCCCTCTCCGGCACCTTCCTTGGCCACCTCAACTACAGGAGGGTCCAGCCTATGGGGAAGACCTGCTGACGTGCATACCTGCAGGCTGAGCCCCCCACTCCTGCCTTAGCCCAGGCCACTGACCTCCCCAGGCACACCTCCCCTGGGAACCACCTCATATTAAGACACCGGCTCGAGCAGCCTTCATCCACTGACACGTCCCCGCAGCACACCAGCTGTAAGAGTCCCCCCCCCACCTGCCAAATTCTGCCAGCCCTGGCACCCCCAGCAGGCCCAGGACGTCACCCGCCACTGCTGTCCCACCACCATTCACTGTCTCTTCCATGAGCGAGTGCTCAATGGACATTCACTGAATTTAATCAAAAACAAAACTCTCTGGGAGAATTATTAAAGGCACAAAAAATTAAAGTCAATTCTCCTGTACATTGATCTTAGCGGCGGACAGAACATAGGAAATCAAGAGCTACCTGTGGAAACGTCACGGAACCTCATTAGGGTGTCCGCGCCCTGGAGAGGAGCTGCACCTTAATACTGTAACCTCCCCCACTCTTGGTGGCACTGGGGATGGAGCCCAGGGTCTCTCATATGCTAGGCAAGTGCTCTACCACTGAGCTGAGCTACACCATCAGCCCTCTCTTTTTTTTTTTTTTCTTGTTTTGAGACAGGGTCTCCCTAAGTTGCTGAGGATGGTCTTGAACTTGTGATCCTCCTGCCTCAGTCTCCTGAGAGGCTATGATTACAGGTGTGTGCCTGGCTACTGGCACTTCTCTTTAGGAAAGCCAGTGTGACCCAAGAAAAGATGGGGTTCTGTTGCAGTTGCCTCGTTAGTGAGAAAGGAAGACTTTGAGATACGTCTCTGAACTACAAGGTCTAATGTTCTGTAGATCAGGAGCTACAAATGCAAGCGCTTCATTCAAAGATACAAAGAACTATCAAATACCTGTGGTTTTCACTTAGAACTGCAAAATTAATGTGAAATATTTATCAGTTTAAAAAATAACCCACAACTTCACTTCTAATAAATTTAAATGGTTTCAAATTTTAATGGACAGAAAAACAAGCTTTTCTAATTCCTGATATTAAAAACCATGTTAATTTTTTCAAACTTATTTCAATGTTTTGTTCATTCAAACATTAAACTCAATCTAATTTCCAATTTTCAGACTGAAGTTCTTTCAATGATTAAATGCAACGCGATTTGATCTTTTTAAGAATGTGCCTAGTGGACGACCCAGCTGTTTCTAACTCGGTGGTCAACAGATCAAGGCAGCTTTAACAAGACGAAGGGTTCTCTGGTTTGTTAGAAGTTACCTGTGTCTACATGGCATGGTACAACCCACATGAGAAAAGCCGCATGTCGAACCTGTGGGACTTCCAACAGTCAACCTGGCACGCCTCTGTCATCCCCGCCCTTCCTCAGAGCAGCCTCGGGGACAGCAGGACTAACAGGTGCCAGCTTCCCCCTCCACGTGAATCCAAGGTGGCACCACACCCTCCCACTGCAGTGTTGGTGACATTGGGTCTGCGGCTCTTGTGTCACCCAGTGGTCACCGATGTCACGTGAACCCAAGGTGGCACCACACCCTCCCACTGCAGTGTTGGTGACATTGGGTCTGCGGCTCTGGTGTCACCCAGCGGTCACCGACGTCTGCAGCTGAGCCATGGACTGAGCACTACTGGCCTCCGGTCCATTGCATTACCAGCAAAACAGAGTGAGGTCTCTCCTGTGGCTAAGGATGGGTGGCACCTCCTGCCTTCGTCTCACCCCACGCCTGAGCAATGGAAACACCTCAGCCCCGCTGTCTAGGCGTGAGCAAGACCCCTGCTGAGTGGCCCGGGAAGCACCTGCCGTGGACACGCTGAGGAGGCTGTCCATTCTGAGGCTGCAGACATGCCTGCTCTGAAGACGTGCTATTTCACCACCTCTGAGGGGTATTAAATATGCATGTGTCCTCTCAAAAACGGTTTGTAATAGCTGTGAATGACAAATGAGAAACTAAATGGCCTCAAAATAAATGCGTTTTTTACACTGGATAACAATTAACATTAATGAGGAGTCGCCATACATTATGCTGAACTTGGTTGATTAAATGGGTTCGAAATATATTTTAGGAAGTAAAACATATTTTCTCTTCACAAATTCACTTGTTGGTAGGAGTGGGGGTGGTTACCAATGGAGCAGGTGCTTACAAAGATACAAGAATAATAAACAAAATTAAAGAATCAAAAATTCATAATTAGTGTCAGCACAGCTTATGCCTATTAGAAATGTATTAATTAAAGTAATATATTCATAAGGTTAGAAGCTTAATGCATTTCTAAGAGGGGGACAGAAATCCCCAAGGCCTAAAAACAAACATAAAAAATTAAGTAGTTTGAATCATCCACTCTGCTTAAGACCAATTTTAAACACAGATGTTTCTGGGCTGGCCTAACTGGCATTCCTACAGGTTGCCAGGGCCACTCTGAGTGTGGCTGTCCCTCAGGTGGATCCTAGCTGTCTAACTGTGGTGTCCGCGTCTAGGCAGCGCCCTGCCCGGGTTCCTACCTCGTGGAGTCCAAGGAGGGCTTCGTCCGCCCCTGGCTGCTCTCTTCCCAGACGCTGTTGGCCAGCTCGTTCCCGATGGACGACATCACCTTGATGAGCTCAATGGGCCAGTCGTCGAGGTCCAGGGACCGGACCCGGGAGAGGTGGGTGCCCAGATTGCGGTGGATGCCAGAGCACTCGATGCACATGAGGGCTCCCAAGTTCAGACTGGCCCAGTTGGGATCTGCGGGGAGTGGAACAGACCACCATCACTTGTCCCTGCTGTCCTTAGAGTTTCAGGACCAGCTGGTCAGACTCCACGTTGGGCGGTCCCCACCCTCACATGACCCCACGGCCCCTGGCCAGTACTCAATATTGTTCTAGGTGCCTTCAAAGAAGTGACATGTTCTAAAACTCTGGCTGAAGCAGAAGCCCACGAGTTTCCTCCACAACACACAATGACACGGTCCAGCTAGAGGGCCCCTGGAGGGACGCCCTCTCCAACACTTCAATAGCCGTGCTCACTTCCAGAAGGCTGGCGTCCACAGCAGGTAGCTGCTGACAGAGGGCAGGGGGAAGCAAGCTGGGGTCATTCCCAAAGCCAGAACAGCCCTCATACCACCTCTACTAAACCAGCACAAAGGTTTCGATAGGCCCGTGATGGAAGTGTTCGTGGATTTCAAAGATGAAAGAATGATGGGAAAATACACCGTTGGGATCTTTTCTAAGGGTAACACTGCGGCAACTGGACCCTCCATGCTTCACGGCTGGCAAGCTGGCACGGGGCCCTTGGGTAGTGAGGAGCCGGCTCTGTCACCCTGAGTTGCAGGGTGAATGGTAGAGGCCTCAGGCTGTGATACCGGACCAAAGACCCATTTCTGCAGGACCACAAACCTGGTCATAGAAGGGCTTTGGGACCCCTGACCTGCATCACTCACTGTGTACAGGCCGGAGTCATCGCAAGACCCGAAACTCAGGCCCAGGGCTGGCCACAGCTAGAATCCACAGCTGATTAGCCAAGATGTTTTCAAGGACAGAAGCAAGTAAGGCTCAACTCAAGGACAGTCACTACTTCCCCAGACCACCTGAAGAGCCGGCAGAACACCAGGTGGCTGATGTCATGTGTGATTCACTGAGTACATGTCCTTTGTTCTACAAACGGCAAATGACCAGGAAGGGTCGTATATGAACTGATCAATCAGTCAGCCATTTGCTTAACATCTAGTCCACGTTCAGGAGGTGATGCCAGGGGACGGGCCAGAGCAGACGCCTGGGCCTGAGAGGCGTCAGATGGGAGGGGGAAACCCGTGCCCCAAATGAACAACCAAACAACAGAACAAGGAAGCGTAGATGCCGAAGAATTCAGCCACACGAGTAAACGCAGAGGTGGGCCGGACAGCAGGGGCAGGGTCGGCCGTGTAGACAAAGGTCTGGCCGGCCTTGCAGGTGTTGGGAGAAGGGGGAGGTGTGGACAACAGCCTGCACGGCCCTCCACACCCTGGCCACCTCTGCTTCTGTACCCCCCACCGTCCCCCAAACACAGGGCAGCCCATATCACCAGCCACCTTCAAAGGCCACACCCAAGGGAGTTGCCACCATTTACTTGGCCCCTTGCTGGCCGAAGACGTCCCAGTTCCCTCCTCAGATGCTGACTTCAGATGCCGTCCTGGCCAACAGCCTCTCTGGGGCTTTCTCCCACGTCTCTGGTTGCTGTATCTTGGTCTCCTCCTGGACCTGTCCCTCCCTCAGGGCTCCCGCAGCTTGTCCATACTCTCTTCCAAGCAGACCCACTAACGTTTAGATGTGAGCTGTCCCCCAAAAGCTCATGTGTGAGAAAATGCAAGAAAGCTCAGGGGTGAAATGATCCGGTTGCGAGAGTCGCCACCTAGTCAGTGCTTAATCCCTGATAGGGATCAACTGGGTGGTGGCCGAGGGCAGGTGGTGGCTGGAGGAGGCGGTCGCTGCGGAACTGCCTCTGGAGTTTGTGTGGCCCATGGTGAGGGGCCGTTCTCTCTGCTTCGTGATCACTACGTCCTGAGCTATGGCCCCCTTCCACGCCCTTCCGCCACCATGGTCTGCCTCACCTCTGGACACATCTGTGGACTGAGACCTCTGAAACCGTGACACCCAAATAAACTGTTCCTTCTTGTCAGGACTTTCAGTCACAGTGGTGAGAACACCGACTAAAACCCAGCCCACCCAACCCACGGCTCCAACGGCGACCCGCATGCTAGCTCTTACCTACAGCTGTCACCTCTTCCTCGCTCCCGAGCTAGAGCATCATCATCACAGTCCATTTCCATGCCCGTCCTGCAGACACCCCACTGTCACCATCTTGCCTCACAGACATACTCTGTTCCTGACCTCAGCCAGTGGCACTGGCCTTCCTGTCACTTACGCAGGATCCTGGCAACCAACCCCAGGTTTTCTGTCACTCCCATAGCTAACCACGTGCTCTCAAGCTCCCTCAAATCCAACTCTTCCTTCTCAAACCCTCGTCCTTTCCGCCGTCATGACATGGGTACAGCAGCTACGGCCTGTGTTTTCACCTTCCACCCACTGCAGACCGCTCCCCACCTGCACCCAGGAAATGTGACGAATCTGCTCATGTCACCCCAGGACTCAAAACCACCCACGGCTGCTGTCTGCCCTTTGGATCGACTTGTTCCTAGTCCTGATGAAAACTGAGCCCATTTCTCACTGGTCCCACCCGAGACGCTCAGCTCCTTGACCCACCAGTGCTCGGGGCTCCCCCGCCTGGCCGGAGCACCCTGGGCCCCGGTACAGTTCTCCTTCTCTGGCCTCAGCTGGAATACTCCTTCCCAGGACGTCCTCCTTGACCGCCCTCTGCCAGATGACTTCTGGCAGCCTGCACTCAGCCCAGGCTGACCCTGTGCCTGCTTCCCCTGCGGGAAGGTAGGTGGCAAGTGCGGTAACGCCAGCTCCTCAGGGCTCTGCCTTGACGTGCGTTTGGCAGGTGACTCAGAATGGCTCCACTAAGCAGGGGAGCCCTCCAAGGGGGTCTGGGCGTGTGGGAGGTAGGCTGTGTGGGCAGGACAGGATGTACGAGGAAGTGACACAGGCTCTGGTCTGACCACAGGGCAGCGTTAGCAGGCACAAGGAGGCCCACCAGGCCGGGTGGCAGCCCACACCAGGATGGCTGGGAGATCTGCTGGGAAGGCTCAGGGCCGCACTGGGGGACCTGATCTCCTGAGAAGGCCGCAGGCTGTGGTTTGTGCTGGGCATAAGGTGGGGACAGGTCCCATTGTCACACGAGAATTCCTGAGAGGCAACTGACAGGCACAGTCCCAAGACACCCCCCAACTCGCCGGCTTCCAGCTAAGTCGGTGCTGAAGCGCATCGTCACCACACCCTTCTCACTGGCTCCTCCTGCACCGAATCCCCTTCTCTTTCGCCCTGTGCCCCGTGGAAGGGCCACTGCTGAGTGCTACGGTGGACAGTTAACGCTGCCCCCAGGGCTGCTCGCCTGCACTGTACAGGAGACTCATTTGGTTGTGGGGCCCACTACACTGCTCCAGGCCCCTGTGAATTGTCTCAGGGACATAGACCAATGACAATGGTCCATATGTAGAGCGTGGCACATGGCCACCCTGCCCACCTCCCAGACTGTCCTAGTCTGGATCTAAAGGAGGATGTCTACATGGGGTGGGGGGGCTGTTTCTGGGCCTATACTCAAAGGTTTCTGTGAAGATAACAAATATGGAAGATTCAAGGGGAGCAGAGTGACCTGGAGCCCAAGCCCCTGGCCGCTGAGACCCAGTCAAGACCGAGTGCAGCAGGGACGAGGCTGCTCCGCCCCATGACCAGGGCTGTGGAGGGTCAGCCTCACCTCTGCTCCAGTTGACATCTAAGGAAGAAATAAGAAGATCACATGATCCACCAAGAGGTGGCAGAACCAGGCACCCCTGGAGGAGCAAGAGGACACAGATGGACGTGAGCAGTTTAAACTTGGTGGTCAGCGGCTGGGTGTGGCGTGGTGGAAGAGCGCCTGCCCAGCATTGCAGAAACAGCCAGTGGTCAAGGACAACCTTTTGGAGAGGCGATGTGGGGCCAAGGCTCTGAGGACTTGGGACAATGGATGGCTCTGCCTGTGGGCTTAGCAAGGACCCGAGAGGCTGGTGGGGCTCCCCCTGCAAGTTTGGCTGGGTCACCTGGGAGGGAAGGGCACCCATAATGCTTAGATAGACATGGTGGCAGGATCAGCGTGGAGCAGCGCTGGCCAGGACTTGATGGGTAAGAGGACTGACAGTGCAGAAAGGCTGGGCTGCCCCGCAGGGTTTGTCCTTGAATGGCTAGCTGCTGGTGAGGGCCATGCGGGGGCCCCAAGGTCTGGGATTCTATGGGCCCCCAAGGGCTGGCTTTCTGGGCATGTTCCTGGCAGGTGTCTGGCAACAGGTGCCCCAAACAGACTTCTACCACAGCTTGGACCGCACCATGTGCAACAGGCATCTTTATGGCAGGACTTCCCAGAAGCAGGGATGGGCCAAGGCCTCGACTCCCCCTTGGTGGACGCTGTTGAGCGTCCTAAATTCACTGGATCACAGAATCCCTTTTTAGGTGGTTACCCCCAAAGCTAAGGAAGTCTAGTGTCCACCCTGGAAGCTGGGCTTTGGGATGTACCAACAGTGCAGACAGATGGGGCTCCTGGTGTCTAGAAGAACCACAGGAGGAGGTGGGGTTTTCACAGCTTCAAATCCCATGCTGCACTGAAGTCCCCCGCCTCGTCCCCACTACGAGGCAGCTGAAGCGATGGGCCAGCCAGACTCACTGGGAGAAGCACGTGCTGTCTCTGGAGTGCAGTATCTCCTGAGGCACTCCACGCCCATCACTGCCCTCAGCTTTGCAGAACCCGGGGTGTTCCTGACCTGGGTCCAGCTGTGGTGCGATGGACATCTTCCAAGCTATTTTCTTGCCATTTCCATCAGTTTCCTCCTGAGCAGCCCAGCAGGCACCAGGGCACCCAGCCCTCCTGAACCGTGCCCATTGCGCTGAGGGGTGCTCATGATTGCTAGGGTGAATGTCAGCCTGGGCACATGTTTCCCAGCCCTGCACCCAAACTGGATGATTTCACTTCAGAAGATCCTGGCCAGGGTGCTATCTATGTGCGTCCTTGATCTCAGACTCCCCAGGCTTTAAGACCTTTGAGGAAACACAGGCAGCCCCGAGCGTGGATTGAAGGATAGGTCAGGATTTGCCAATTCTGTAACCTTGCACGAATTATTCAAGCCCCCTGGACTCTTCGTCTCCCCCACTGTAAAGGGGCCCACAGTGGCACCAACTCTAAGAGTCGTGAGAATCAACGATGGCACCTGCCCAGCTCTGCCGGCTCCCGGGCCGCTCCCCCACCCAGGTGGTCTGCTGGTTCCATCCACACTGGTCCCGCAGCCTGGCAGGCACTCCCCTCCCCACCCACCCTCAGTGCTCCCACACCCCACTCCTGACCTCCAATATGTCACAGGCCATGGTCCCCACAGGCCACGGTCCCCACAGACTAGTTTCTTTTAACGGAATCCTTAGATGTACAGTGGAAACAAGGACAGAACTTCCCTAATGGACCGTCTGAAGCGTCTCAGGTTTGTGCTTCTAAGAAAGGTCTACTTTAAAAAGTTTTTGATAAAAACACACTTCAAATAACTGTTCCTGTCTTCTACCTCCGTTCCACCACCACACGTTTTGAAAGTAAAATTTTAAGATTCAAACAAAAAAAGATACTTTAAAGAAGTATCTCAAGGATCATGAAAACAGCATCCTGGTCCCCCATCGTGAGAAGTGACTCGCTGTGTCCCTTCCCAGGCCTGAGACGAGTGGCCTTGCAGGGGCAGCCCAACCCTTCCCTGTGGAGACCACCCAGTCCTCCCAGTTACCCTCCTTGCCCTGGCTCTCTACCCTATTCCATGTGAAGTGGGACCCTCAGATAGACAGGCCCGTCTCCCCCGCCTGGCTTGGGGTTCACCTGTCCTGCTCTGCAGCACCGAGGACTGAAGAACAGAGACCGCAACTCTTGCCTCTGGTGCCGCACCCCACTGGCTTTGACACGGGTCCAGCTGAGAGGCTGCTCTTTTCCTAAATGAGGCCAGGGTTACCCTCTGCTTGGCAGTGACCCATGCTGCATGGCCCCTTCAGCCTCCTCCACCTGCACAAACCCGACATGTCCCCAGAACTCGCTGAAACACTGACCCTGTGGCAGGTTGGCTGGCCCTAAGCAGCCTGACGCCAAGTGCCCAGCTGGCCCTTCTTGTGGGCTCACGTCTCAGTCCCTGGGCTTGGCTCCGGACACTCAGCACCAGCCCCACCACCGCGCCTGCCAGGCAGCGCTGGCCTGGCCCCAGGACCTCTGACCTTGTTTAAACTTTGAACTGAGTCTCCCCTCTTTGAAATGCTATTTAACCAAAACAAAACAAAACAAAAACAAGAACATTAACACAATTAGGAAAAAAAAAAAAAACCCAATATAAACTTCTCAGGGCTGGGACTAAAAGAGTGAACAGCCAATCCCCAGCCTCAAGGAGGTAAGCCACAAAATGCCCCTGTCAAAGGGAACACCACATTTTGGACAACAGAAAGCACGAAATACAACTGAGTCATGAAGCAGTAACTACAAGTTCTACTCGTTCAATCAAATGCTGCAGTTTGTAATGTATTTAAAATAAAAAGAATCATGATGTCAAAACCCAGAACATATACTTTTGAAATTAAAAAAAAAAAAGTCCAGAATCTCTGGGCAGAAATGTACTCTATTTTTATGGAAAAAACCAAACAATTGGTTACTGATGTAGCAGAGGCTGCTTCCCAGACACGATGGGATGTGGGTCTGGGCCGAGTCCTTCGCAGTCCTAAGCAGGGCTCCCTGATGCTCCGGGGAATGGTGCGTGTCGGTCAGCGAGACGGTTCAGGTAAAGTCTGAACAGAACAGTGGACCTTGGTACCCGTCACCGCCCTTCCTGACAGGGACGACAGCCTGACCCTGCAGCTGGGCCCCGGGGTCCATCCCGCTCCCCTGGCGCACTCACTCTGGGTGTCGCAGTCCACGCAGTGGGAGTTCCCGCGGATGTTTCGGATGGACTGCAGGGCCATGGCCTCACTCTGGCTGGTCAGTCGGGACTGGGCGTGGAAGAAGACAGACAAAAGCAAAATATGAGAAGCCCGGGGAGACAGACACCTCCTAACACAATCAGCTTAACCATGTGCAATACAAGAGGAGGGAGATCCTCAGTTTCCTCTCTTGATGTCTTCAGGAGACAGCATGACCCAGGGAGAAAAGCTACACGTCGGGATTCACCTGTAGAGACGGACTCTGCCAAAACCAGCAAAGAGGAAAGTCCAGTGGTGTGTGTGTGACCACGAGGCCAGGGGCCCCCGGGAAGGTTGGTGTTAACGCACCTCGGCTGACACTGCACTTCTTGGCATGAAGACCCAAGAAGCAGAGGAAGCCGACCTGCTCATGAGCCGGGAGTCGGGGCTTCGTCGGCGGGGTAGACCTCACTCATGCTCACTGCTCAGACAACCCGTCCACACCATGTCATGGCTGGAGACCCACTTTCCATTTGAGGAAAACAAACTGGGACAAAGAGTGCTGGTGGGGGCACTTATTCTTAAACTACATGAAGACGTGTGACCCGTGGCGGGACAACGCAGAGTCGAGCTCTGATGTTTTGATACCATGCGTTGTCGTCTTCCACTTATCACTGAATCCCTTGTCAAGTTGCCCCAGATGCTTGGGTCGCCTCCAGCTCTGCTCTACCTGAACAGTGCTGAACGGAGCACTCTTGACGCCGACTCTACGCACACATTCACCATTACCTAGTGGAGAGGAATTGCTGGTTCTACAGGTGCTAGGGAAAGGATGCCTGCAGCGGTTACAGCCTGTTTATTCAATATGCATTTATTATTATGTTTAAAACAAAAATTGATCAATTTCAAGGGACACTTGGGATAAATCTTATTTTTGTGTAAGAGTTATTTATATTGAGGAGTGGATGAGGCCATCTCTTGACACGTTGTTTGATGTAGAATAATTTATCGTGTAACATTAAGTTATAATTTATTAACTTTGTCTAATTAGTATCTTGTATTATTGGGTTTTAATTCCCCTCAGCTAGATACCCAAGTATTGAAAGTATGTTTGACAATTCATGTTGGCATCCGAGTGTGGGAGTGTGTTGCATGTGCACACAAAGCTCACCACAAATCCCTTCCAGAATTTTCTTTAAATGCACTTGATTTTGTAGGTTGGTGGGCAATGTCCTCAGTTTCTATTTGGGCACAGTTAGAAAAATAAAATGTACTCTGAGGCTCTAAAACGTCCCAGCAAGGGGGTTTTAAACAGTCGAGGATTAAAACAGAGAAATGGAAGCAGCTCTGGATGGGAACATAATTTTAGTGTAAGGAATGTCACTGAGCAGTGGCCTAAAAAATGCACATTAAAACACTTTTTCTTTGGCTACACAACTGTAAAAAAAAAAAAAAAGTCGCCTCTAATTATTGATTAAAACACACACCAGGCTTTAGCAACAGTTTAGAAAAGAGAACTTCTCCTCACCCAATCTCCCTCCCGCCCAGGTCTGCAGGCGCCTTCCGTGTCCACCTCTAACAAGGCCACCTCCCCACTTGGCGTGGGTTTGGACTTCGGGCATTCGTGGGAACAGAATGGTGCATCTTTTACATCTGTATTTCTTTTTCTGATTTATTCTTCCCCAGACAAAGTGTGGATGAGTAAGACCTAAGAGCCCAGGAGACTCCAGCACCCGCCATGGCCATTCAGCGTGTCCACCTGATAGAACAAAGATTCCGTGTTGGACATCCTGCCACAGGGACAGGGCCAAGCCAGGACACCAAGGCATGACACGCGGTGAAGATGGACAGAGTGTTTTTATCTTTTCACTTATTTAGTCTTTTGCTCACAAAGAATACCTGGGTCCTTGTCATCCACCCGTCACCTGATGCTTTGTCCTCCTGGGCCAGCACTCTGGGCCTCTGCTGCTCTTTAATGATCAGAGGCCTTGATTTCGGGGGACAGCCTGCTGAGGGCTTACCTTATTCTTGCTGCTCTCGCAGGACTGTAGGCTGGCTAGGATCTGGCTCTCGATGGCTTGGACCCACGCATCTCGTTCTTCATATGTGGTGGCTTCAAAGTGCCAGGTCTGGCCAGTGAGGGACACAATGATAAACTCAAAGTTTTCTTCTTGTTCTGAAACACAGAGTGGTGGGGATGAAGAGTTTACTTTCATGAGACAGCAGCCCCTCTGCCAGTGCTCTGTCACAAAAGTGCCTCTGGGTTCAATGGCACCTGCATGGGGCTGGCAGCACACACAGGCTTGGACAACCACGGCAGCGGGGATCTGAATCCACACACCTCCGCATGCTCGAGATCGCTTCCTAAAGCCAGCAGGCTTAGCTAGGTTTCAATCGATGCTCGGGGACAGGGAAAAATGAGAACCAGCGTGTGATGTCAGTGTCTCTGTGTCAGGCACAGACCAAGCAACTTAGGAGAATAAGTTTGTGACTTACTGCTGACCATCGTATCTGTGGGAGGAAGATTAAGTTAGCGAGGCTCATCTCAGGACCAGGTTTTAGTTACTGCACAGCGCCTGCGCGCAGACGCAGCAACACCGCAGCACTCAGGACGCCAGAGACTTCTGTCCTTCCACGGCAAGGGACCTGTCAGGGTGGAAGAAGCTTTAGTTCTTGCTATCCTCAGACCAGAGAGCAGAATTCCAGGTGACCGGAAGGGTCGAGTTGAGGCTTGCGGTCTGCCGAGGGGCACGTTCTGGGACAGGAAGAGAGCAGTCTGAGACCACATGTTGCAACACCATCTCCCCCATTTTGGTCTTTGGACCAATCCCTCCACTCCCTAGGAGCATGTCCCTCCCCTGTGCAGTGGGAACCACTACAGAGCAGAGAGTCTCTCCTGGTTTAGCCAGGTGCACTGACCTGCCCTCCCAGGGCCCGGGCCCAGAGACCTTGGCCCTAAATTCCCAGTACCAGCCCAGCAGGGACCACTCTGGAGGAGCAGGACCAGCGACAAACCACCAGCAAGAAACGTGAAGCTGGCTCTTCAGGGGCGAGGTCCCCCTGGGTGAGCGGTCTGCAAGCGCTGGCCTGCGAACGAGCTACATGACTGCCCTTAGCCACGGGAAGAGCCCACCTTCCAGGTGGTATCCAGGCACCTTCTCTGTCATCTGCACACGGCCACTCAGTGGCTCGTGTCTAGGGCACAGAGCTCCCACCTGCTGGGTTCCTGGCTCCTCTAGCCCGGCTTCCGAGGCCCTCCTGCCAGCCTTGGCCTCAGCAGCTCTCAAGGCCCTTCCGTGCCACATGCCCAGGAGCATTGGCCATGAGGACACTTATCCCAACTCCTGCCTCCTGTCTCCAAGGCCACAGCAACCGTCTCCAGTCACCTTCCCTCCTTCCTTTTAGTCTCAGGAGAAATGCAGCTCCCCTGTGGTGGCTGAGAGACCCCTCCTCCCAATCCCATTGATGCTGGCAAGCCCCACTTCTGTGGGGCTCGGGCAGTGTCCAGGAAGAGGAAATCATGCCACGTTCATATGACATCCTTACATATTCTGTAAAGAATCGTGTCATGCTTTGTGTAAATAGCCTCATGGCTCTTGCAGAATTTAACTGCCCACCGGGCTGGACCTAAACCTGTGGGTCTTGCACCCAACAGCACCTGGAGGGTGGGGCTGTGGGCACGCGCATTTGCAAACCCTTTGGTGTCTACAGAGTGCCCACCTTCAGGGAGTGAAGGTGACCTCGGTCAGGAGGGCCCAGCCACCCCCCGCCTCTCCAAGGCCTGTGACTCCCCTAAAGGTGAGGAGGCGCTGCAGAGGGCCTGATCTAGGGCCACACTGGTGCCGAGGGAGGCCAGGTTGTGACACAAAGCCCTGGGCTCTGGCTGGCTGCCCTCATCCCCGCTGCTGAAGCTGACGCCAGAGAGGGGACGGAGCGCAGCAGGAAACACAGGGGCCCCCGGGCGGCGAGTTTCGTTGCTCCCAGAGCCTCTCAGGCTCCTGACGATGGACAGCCAGTGACCAGTACTCTAAGAGACCCAGTGGGAGCTCTAGTGCCATCCCCTGCCCTTAAGCTCAGAGAACAAGCGACCCCTGTGTTCATGCAGAAGCAGAACCTCCACCTGCCTTAGAAAGGGGTCTGCAGCCCCTCCCCCACCCCAGGAAGGCCCTGGACACTGGGGAACTTGTTGGGTTTTCATTAAAAAAAAAAAAAATCACTGACTTTCAAACAGGCTTCTCCCTGGCTGACCTGCAATTACACCTTGCAATTACAGGCTGAGCCAATGCATCTGTGGATCTTAAAAGGTCCAGCCTCCTGATCCATGGGCTTTTATGTCCTAATACTATGAATTATAACCTTTCTGCACAGATTCTTATAAGACAGTACCCCAATTCATGTATTTTATGCCAACTTATAGGAAACTGACAGGGCAGGAAAGAATTACAACACATGCAGATTGACTGTAAGCGAACTTGGTAACTTATGGGTAGAAGTGAAGAGATCTACTAGCAGGCTCGCACTCGTGAAATTCAAATGCACACATAAAAGCCCCCTCTGATCAGGATCTACTGGATTATCTAGTGAAAACAATTACAACCATTACCTTCCTAGTTAGGACTCCTGCTCACTGGTCTTCCAGAAACCTTTCACATTCGGACTTCCAGCTAGAATTGTGAGCTACATTCACTGGAGCTAAAGGCAGAGAGCTACTTGGCGTGGGAGACCGAGCTGCTCTGCAAATGCCCCTGTGTGGTAGGGACAGGCACAGGCATATACACAGATAAAGGACACAAAGTGACAAAAACCACAGTGGGGATCTGGGCACAGTGCCACAGAAGCATCTCCATTTTGGGCCCGGTTCTGAAGAGCAGTTACTTCCAACGCTCTCAGTATTCCACGCAAAGACAAAACTTCCACATGAAGTCACTAAGGTACAGTCCGGCTTGGCTCTATTCATCAGGCATGCACAAGGGATCTACTTAAGGGAACCAAGTGGCCACCGGACCTCAGCCCGTTCCCTGCAAACCCCACATGTGCTGCTCCCAGTGGCTCTATTCTGGCGTCCGACTCCTTACACGTATGTTCTACCACGCATCTCTACTTACATCTCCCATGTCAGTGAACACCTGTGCCTCTCCCTCCAGCGCCGGGTCCTTTCCTCTGCTCTGCCTCTCTGCCTTCTTTACCTGGCCCTGGGACATTCTCAGGGAACGAGATTCAGTAAAGATTTCCTCACTTGACCCCCGACTCGACAGCCCTTCCTGTGGCTGCCCTGACCCGTGCCTGGGACACCCAGGCCACAGGAGTCCTTCGCGCTCTTGCTCCACCCTGGGCAGATGCCTCCACACCCCTGGGAGAATCAAAGCCGCCGGGCACCCAGCCCTCGGCCACCCTCCTCGGGAAGCCTCGCTGCACAGCCAGTACATGGCAGCGCTGGGTCTCTCTGCCTGTCTCTGTGCAGTGTGTGGCATTGCTGGTGGTGACCACCAGGGCGACTCTCCTGAGTGCTCACCTGGATGAGGAAGGCCCTGCCTGGAGGAACGGAAGGCAGGAGAATTGGGCTGGGGTCAGCCACTCACTGGAGGATTCTGTGGCAGGATGAAGGAGGCAGAGGCCCCCGTAGTGGGCTGTTACCTGTCTCACCTTGACCAACACTTTAATCAACACTGTGGCTGAAGACACAAGGCCATTTTGTCCAAATGTGAAAGGCAGGAAATCGAGAAGGACAGTAAAGCCCCAAGTGAATCAACCTACCACGTGAGGCTCCTGGCACAAGCCAGCCGGGCTGTGCTGCCCACCAAGAGGGGCGCAGTCCTGCCCTCCATCCTTGTGGAGGCCGGTGAGAACCACCAGGACACAGGCTTCCTAGGAAAGGCCCATTCTGAAAGGGCAGCCAGGAGAAGGCCCAGGCGATCCCGCAGGGCACAACCAAGCTTCCTCCCAATGAGGAGCCCATTCTGCAGGCCCCCAGAGTCAACTCACCTGGGACCAGAGGATAACTAGACCTGGAACAGCACAGGCCACTGAAAAGATGAGGAACCGATGGGGACAGCAGCCACAACCCACGGCACCAACACCTTCGGGGTAGAGGGTGTCGCAACAGTAAGTTCAGTGGTCACTGCAGTCACCGTGTGATCATGATTGGTCTGTGGTACAGATGACGCATGCACAAAGGCCCTGTGGCCCTGTCTGCCCACCAACCTCTCCAGTCTGAGGGGCAGCATACATGTAGGAAAATACGATGGATTATTCTGTTTGTTCTAACTGAACATCTCAGCCCAGCCCTGGAGACAGAAGATGTCTGGTTTGTCCATAGAGGGACCAACAACAGGTCCCAAAGAGGCCACAGTGCCCCTGACTCCTAGTGCTGTGTTGCTGATACTCCAGGCTGAGTTGTGCTGTGGACCACTGGGCTCCCTGGAGAGGAGTCCAGTCCACTCGGCGGGAGCCCGGGGCAGGCAGATGGAAGCCTATGCCCAGACTGTGCAGGGCGTGACCCTGCACCTGAGATCTTCAACAGGAGCCAGCTGGGCACCTCGCTTCCCAAGAGGGACTGAACCCTGGGTGCAGAGCCCCACGAGGCCCCTGGCATCCCTGCGCGGAAGCCCTATACTGAGGTCTCGTGGTTAAGGGAGGCTGAGGAGTGACTGCCCACGGTTGGGGGTTCAGAGACGACGTATACCGGCCCTGTGATTTTCTCTGCCTACCAAGATAAAACACCAGAACACGGATCAGAGAGCCACTGCTGGTTCAGGCCGTGAGTTGCACACGGCTTCCCTGAAGGGGTGAGCTGCTTCCTTGAGGTGAATCTGCAGCAGGGAATACAAACACAAAGGAACACAGTCACTGGGCCCAGGTGCCTCCAGGAATGGGCTGCACTCTGCAGGCACTGCCTTGTCTGAGTACCTTCCCATCTTACAGTGGTAAGCAGATCCTCTCTCCATCTTTGGACCTTTCCTGGTGTGCCCAGTGGGGACCAGAGGGTCTCCCAGTGGCTTTATGTAATCTTCTCTCCCTCCTGACATGGGAGGAGCAAGATGCTTTGGTCTTTTAAAAGTAGTCCCCCCAGAAACCCCTAAGCAGCCTGATGGCGTCAGGCTGGAGAATGCTTTTGGAAGCACTACCCAAGGCCATTCTGGTTCCTGTGACACAGTATGCAAATGCAATGGTCACACG